AGATGTGGCCAAGTTACGTAAAGGTTCAGGTACAATATTTTCTACAGGTAATGTATCAAGAGATAGGTTCATCCCAGTAATTCTACTAAGAATTATGACCTAATAATTTTTAATTATAATTGTAAATATTTTGTGTATTATCAAAAATGTGCATTTAATTTAAAATGATAAACATTACTTTACGAGCAACATCTAACCCATTTAAATTGTCACGCAGATCAGATTCCTAACAAATGTTAAGTATAAAGAATAAATTAAAAATTTTTTTTTAAATCAAATAGATTCAGATAATTTGAAATTAATCAATAATTTTACTGTGTAGCCATTATTTTTCGCAACAGTAACAATTTCAGAAAACTTTTGCCCATTATCATTGAGAATTCATTAAAAATATAACTTAATATTTCTGAGAATATATCTTCTATCCTATTAATTTTATCTTCAGTTCTAACCAAACCTTTCAATGTACTAATAATTGGTAAACTAGCACCAACTGTACTCTCATTAAAAAAGAGCTTCTTATTCTTTTTTGCTTCTTCGATGATTTCTTTATATAATGTTGCTTCGCTACTAAGAGCCTTTTTATTGGGTGTTACAACATGTAGACCTTTTTTAAGAATAAAGGATATTGAGAAGCTATTTCTTGGCTTGATGTATTGTCTATGATTATTGCCAGGCTACTCGGGTCATAACCCGAATTGTGACCTAGTATCATGGGCAAAAAGTGACATTTCCATAAAATGTAACGAAGCTAATAAAACTGCGTCTCCAGAAACGAGATTAGATCGTCATAGGCTTAGAAGGCTTAAGGGATCATTGATGGAACAATCGATAGATGCCGATCTAAGAATTCCAAGGCTCTACGATAGCAAAGCCCTTCTCCCTTGCATATAAGAATTAAAAAAACTATTTAAAGGACGATAGCAAAGCCCTTCTCCCGTTGTATATAAGAATTAAAAAAACTAATTAAAGGATGTTATAACACTAGAGGTTGGTAACGACTCTTATGTGCGAGGTAGAGGCACATAAGGTTGATCATAATTATCGAATTCCCATTTTCCCAAATCACCAATGTCATGCCTCTTGCGAAACCTTGAATTTTGTCTTTCGTCTGGAGCTAAAATTTTTACCGGGTACAATCTCTACTTTAGAACAATACTAAAATATGTAAAAAAAAAAAAAAAAAAAAAAATTAGTAAAATGATGTATTTATTGAAATCATTATGACTATATATAAGCTTAAATTAAAATATTTGTAATTACATATTAGGTTATGTATTTTAAAAGTTTAAATTAAATTTAAATTTGAAAGTTTAAATTACATATAACCTTATTATGTATGTTAAATTTAAAGTTTAAAGATTAAATATTATATAAATACCTGCTTTTTTCTTTAATTTTTCTTTAATTTTTCTATAGATCTACGTAACAACTTTTATTAAATATGGGTAAATATTATATTTGGATTTTAATTAATATTAACAAAATCCGAACTCAGATTTTATTAATTAACAGTAAAATTAGCTACATAATTAGCAAAATTCAAATTCGGATTTTGTTAATCTATTATGTTGATAAAAGAAATTTGTGTAAAAATTATAAATATAAACTATACCTGTTAAAGTTAGATAATTCTATAATAGATTAACAAAATCCGAACTCATATTTTGTTAATTAAAATTAATTAATTATCGTTATTGTTTTAAAAATATAGTTTTTTTTTTTTTAATTTTTTAATTTTTTAAATTTTTTTTTAATTTTTTAGATTACATTAATAACAATTTGATGCGTTCATTGTATCTAACAGTTATATTCAATATAAACAATCATATTAAATATATTGAATTTTTAGAAAATGAAATAGAAATAACATATCAAGATAATAGTCGAAAACGATTTTATTATAATAAAATTGGTGCCAAAGAGGATATAGAATTCGTGAATAAAATTTCGCATAAAATGGATAAAATACTAAAAGTAGATCAGGATTTTTGGGAAAGTGAAACAAATGAGAACTCCTATGAAAGTGAAACAAATCAGAATTCCTATGAAAGTGAAGCAAATCAGAATCTCAATAAAAGTGAAGCAAGTCTGAACTCTAATGAAAGTAAAAGTAATCATCCTAGTAAAAGTAATGTTTTTAAAATAAAATATGAAGAACTACACATATTTTTATCGAAAAGTAAGTATTTAATTTATAAATAATTTCATATTTAATAAATAGATTTACTAATAATATATTAATTAAATTAAATAAAAACAAATTTAAAGAATAGGTCTGGCGATCTTAGTGTAGTGGTTAGGTTGCCAGACCGCCATGCAAGAGGTCTGGGGTTCAAATCCCAC